TACTACCCTTAAGAAATCATCAAAAAAATAAAAATAAAATTTTAGAAAATAATAAATTAACACACCTTCGAACAAAACTAAAGTTTCACATTTGCTTTTTTTAGTAGCACGGAATTAGTTAGAGGGTACAGTTGTTCAAACTTTATTACCGCGCGTGAAGGTCAAGGTCAAGGTGAAATTGAAGGTCACCATCCGATGTCCCCCTCCAAACCCAACAACTTTTGTAAGGGTTATTTGGATTGGTGGCTCCCCAACAAGATATTCAGGTTCGTAATTTCAAATATTTTGTCCTTAAAATAACCTCTGAAGGTCATTCCAAAGAAGAGCCTCAAGTACCCATCTAAACGTAAAATTTTGCGCTTTTTCCGAATCCAGGGTCAAAAATAGGAATTTTTATTTAAACAATTCGATTTAATCTTCAAATGACCTTGAAGGTCAAGGTCAAGGTGAAATTGAAAATCACCGTCTGATGTCCCCCTCCGAACCCAGCAACTTTCGTAAGGGTTATTTTCGGATTGGTGGCTCCCCTGACAAGACATTCAGGTGCGTAATTTAAAATGGGACATCCTGTATATATAATAGAATATACAGGGTGTTTTATTTTTAATCTAGCCAGGCGAATATTTCAAACGCTGTTAAGTTTAGAGAAAAATGTTTTAGACAAAAGTTGTAGGGTTCGAAGGGGGACACAAGATGGTGGGCTTGAGTTTTTGATGAAGATAAAATTGAAGGTTATATGAAGGTCAACTTTGTTTTTTTTAATGAAATGTATTTTTCATTGCATATTCTGAAAGAACATAAAATTCTGCATTAAAATTGTCTGACACGTTTTTCATGAAAATCCATAATTTTTTAGGAAATTTAGCAAATTTAGCAACCCCGAAAGTGAGAGGCAAGGGGACTCACGTAAATCAAGCATCCCGATGGAATCAGATTTTCGTCACGTCCACGCCGTTGATTCCGGGTAACTCTAAGAACAAGAAATGTTCATGAACATGTACAAATTGATGCATGATTCTTTTTACGAAAACAAATATTTTTCTTTAATTGCTAAATTTCCTAAAAAATTATGGATTTTCATGAAAAACGTGTCAGACAATTTTAATGCAAAATTTTATGTTCTTTCAGAATATGCAATGAAAAATACTACATTTCATTTAAAAAACAAAGTTGACCTTCATATGACCTTCAATTTTACCTTCATTAAAAACTCAAACCCACCATCTTGTGACCCTCTCCAAACCCTACAACTTTTGTCTGAAACATTTTTCTCTAAACTCAACAGCGTTTGAAATATTCGCCTGGCTAGAATAAAATAAAA